CCTTGTTGCTTCTTCCACCTTTTGGACAATGAAACTTGGATTAAGACTACACTTCCCTTCCCATTCGCGGCCTTGGCACTTGCAGATCTGATCATTCATGAGGCCAAGGCTGAGGCCTCGTGAATGATACTTCCCTCCCTTACTGGCATCTTTTCCCCCCCCCCCGGGCCAGGGCTTGTAATCAGAGACCAGGCTGCCGGGGCTTGTAATCAGCTCCAGCAGCCATTGCGACTTGCTTTCCCAGCAGTGCTCAGGGCCCAGCAGATGCACACCCCACTCCCTTCCACCACAGCCAATGGGCACACAATATGTCAATTGACTGTGGTGGAAGGGGGCGTATGCACACAGAGCCCCAAGCGCCACTGGGAAAGTGAGTCCTGATGGCTGCTAGGGTCGATTACAGGCCCCAGAGGCCTGGGCTCTAATTTGCTGGGGACGGGGAGAAGATGCTGGTAAGGAAGGGAGGGAAGGAGGGAAGGAAGGGAGAGAGAGAGAGGGAATTTCACAAACAGTCAAGTCCCATTGTCCCTAATGGCACCACTAGGAACAATGGGTCTTGACTACTTGCAAAATTTGGTATCCACAGGAGGTCCAGAATGGGTCTCCCATGAATGGGGAGGGACAAGTGTATATTGATGGCTTTTCCCCAAAGTCTTACTGACATGATTCCATCAGACTTTGCATTATATATTTTGACTGTTTTTGCTATAGCTTTCCTTACTGGGCTTAAAAAGTGAAAATATGTGTTTTCTAGAAGTACTATACAAATGCTATATACTCTCAACAAGTGCTATAATTTGAAAACTATCTTTTTTTAGTGAGGCATACAATAGGAACCCTTCTATTAGTGTTTAAAATCTAGTCTTTTAAAACTTGTGAGACAATATGAATGCCACATAGGTGATAACAATCCAAGCCAGACAGAAAAAAAAAGTATTACAAATATTTTTTCTGTCTGGGTTCTGAATTTTGACAGGCCATACTTTGACTCAGAGCACTTACACCCCTAGAACTGAGCAGGGCAGAGAGATAAAAGTAAAATGAACACACATCTTTGTCAAGCTGAAAAGACAAACCATTCATAACAGAAACAGCTTTAAGACTATTATATTCTGACATGTTTGTGGGAAAAGATTTAACACCACTTTTTTCCTCTTAATTTGCAGTATAAACTGCAGGACTCCCCCCCCCACCCTTTAAAAAGCCTCTTGTTAATAAATAGATGTTGGTTATCAGAAGGATTCTAACAATTATTGAAAAAAGTTAAAATCAAGACAAAAGCAGCTTAAGTAGATAGTTGTGTTTCATACCATATTGTTTTCAAATCTGAATTTTCTGAGGTTTAGGATAATAATAATAATAATTTTTATTTGTATACTGCCCTATGACGAACCAATCCGGGCGGTGAACAACAACAATAAAATACATACAATCTAAAACCATATAATTCCCTCCTCCCCCCTTAAAAATTATTAAATCAATCTCAATTAAAACAATGACATTAAAACCAACAGTATGAAATTATAATTACAAATTTATAAGTACAGTACAACAACCTCTGCTGGGGGAATTACAGAATATTCGTTAAAAGAGATCTTAAGGTCTCAAGATCTCAAAGTCTCGAAGTCTCGAAGTCTTGAGGCCGGGTGATTTAATCTGGGAAGGCCTGCCAGAAGAGATCCGTCTTGACAGCCTTTTTAAAGCTGTCCAGAGATGTCAATTGACGGATCTCATCCGGCAGGCCGTTCCAGAGCCTGGGAGTGATGACAGAAAAGGCCCTCTGGGAGGTAGCCGCAAGCCTAGATTTTTGAGGCTGCAGCAAGTTCCTCCCAGAGGACCAGAGAGCGCGGGGAGGATTGTATGGGAGGAGGCGGTCCCTGATATAGCTTGGACCCAAGCCATTTAGGGCTTTAAAGGTGATAACCAAAAACTTGTACTGGCCCGGAAACCAACAGGCAGCCAGTGGAGGGACCTCAAAACCAGA